ACGCTCAACTGCGTTGCTGGCACGCTCAACTGCGTTGCTCGCACGCTCAACTGCGTTGCTAGCACGCTCAACTGCGTTGCTAGCACGCTCAACTGCGTTGCTAGCACGCTCAACTGCGTTGCTAGCACGCTCAACTGCGTTGCTAGCACGCTCAACTGCGTTGCTAGCACGCTCAACTGCGTTGCTAGCACGCTCAACTGCGTTGCTGCACGCTCAACTGCGTTGCTGGCACGCTCAACTGCGTTGCTGGCACGCTCAACTGCGTTGCTGGCACGCTCAACTGCGTTGCTAGCACGCTCAACTGCGTTGCTGGCACGCTCAACTGCGTTGCTAGCACGCTCAACTGCGTTGCTAGCACGCTCAACTGCGTTGCTAGCACGCTCAACTGCGTTGCTAGCACGCTCAACTGCGTTGCTAGCACGCTCAACTGCGTTGCTGGCACGCTCAACTGCGTTGCTGGCACGCTCAACTGCGTTGCTGGCACGCTCAACTGCGTTGCTGCACGCTCAGCTGCGTTGCTAGCACGCTCAACTGCGTTGCTAGCACGCTCAACTGCGTTGCTAGCACGCTCAACTGCGTTGCTCGCACGCTCAACTGCGTTGCTCGCACGCTCAACTGCGTTGCTCGCACGCTCAACTGCGTTGCTAGCACGCTCAACTGCGTTGCTAGCACGCTCAACTGCGTTGCTAGCACGCTCAACTGCGTTGCTAGCACGCTCAACTGCGTTGCTAGCACGCTCAACTGCGTTGCTAGCACGCTCAACTGCGTTGCTAGCACGCTCAACTGCGTTGCTAGCACGCTCAACTGCGTTGCTAGCACGCTCAACTGCGTTGCTGGCACGCTCAACTGCGTTGCTGGCACGCTCAACTGCGTTGCTAGCACGCTCAACTGCGTTGCTAGCACGCTCAACTGCGTTGCTAGCACGCTCAACTGCGTTGCTAGCACGCTCAACTGCGTTGCAACTGCGTTGCTCGCACGCTCAACTGCGTTGCTCGTGTTAGAATATCTCCTCTCTTGTAACCTGCATATATGCTATAGGATAGGCTAGAGATAAGCACCCAAACTTAGTTTGGGTGTACAAGCAGGGGTTACCCAATTTGTAGGTTGGAAACCCAACCTTGGTCCAATTATTGGACCCCAAGGGTTGGGATGGGTAGAATTATTGGTCCCCTCCAATAATGTTGGCCCAACTCCAACTTGGCCAACATTATTGGACCCCACCAATAATCTCTAAACCCAACTCCTTGGTTGGGGTCCAATAATGTTCACCTAGGCTAGTTTCCAACTCATCTCCTATGTAAACCCCCCATCCTTTCAATCAATCCATCAACTTCTCTTCTACCTTTTCTTCTCACATGGTATAGAGCTCTTAAAAATCCTAGGCCTACGCTCCTAGTTTTTTTTCAAAGGCCGCCGCAACCCCCGGCCTCCTCTCTCATTTCTCCGCGGCTATCTCGCCACCCTCCCCCTCTCCTCAAGCACTCCCTTCCTCGCAGCCCCACGGCCTCCCACGCCATCACGGCTCGCGGCCCCACCGCCGCTTCCGCGCTCGCCTTGTCGCGGTCCCGCCGACCGCCACCGCCCACCCCATCCCGCGGCCTCGACGCCGCCTCCGCGCCAACGCCACTGCGGCCGCCGTCGCCGCCGCCGCTCCCTTCCGCGGCCTCGACGCCGCCTCCGCGCCTGCACTGCCGCGGCTTCGCCAGCCGCCGCCGCTCGCGCCGCTCCCTCCCGCGACCCCGTCGTCACTTCCGCGCCAGCACTCCCGCGGCTTCGCCAGCCGCCGCCGCTCGCGCCGCTCCCTCCCGCGGCCTTGTCGCCGCTTCCGCGCCTGCACTGCCGCAGCCTCGCCAGCGCCGCAGCTCGCGCCGCTCCCTCTCGCGGCCTCGTCGCCGCCTCCGCGCCTGCACTGCCGCGGCTTCGCCAGCCGCCGCCGCTCGCGCCGCTCCCTCCCGCGACCCCGTCGCCGCTTCCGCGCCGGCACTGCCGCGGCTTCGCCAACCGCCGCCGCCCGCGCCTCTCCGCGGCCTCGTCACCGCCTCCGCGCCAGCCGCCGCGGCCTCGCCAACCGCCGCCCGCGCCTCTCCGCGGCCTCGTCGCCGCCTCCGCGCCAGCTGCCGCGGCCTCGCCAGCCGCCGCCCGCGCCTCTCCGCGGCCTCGTCGCCGCCTCCGCGCCAGCCGCCGCGGCCTCGCCAGCCGCCGCCCGCGCCTCTCCGCGGCCTCGTCGTCGCCTCCGCGCCAGCCGCCGCGGCCTCGCCAGCCGCCGCCCGCGCCTTCCCCTCCAGCGGCCTCGACGCCGCCTCCCCGCCAGCACCGCCGCGGCCTCGCCAGCCGCCGCCGTCCGCGCCCCTCCGCGGCTTCAACGCCGCCTCCGCGCCAACCGCCGCGGCCTCGCCAGCCGCTGCTGCCCGCGCCACTCCCCTCCCCCCCCCCCCCGGCCTCGTCGCCGTTGCTCCTCCGTGACCACTGCGGGTCCACCTGCAGCCGTCCATCATGGCTACTCCTACACCCTCCCCCTCCCCACTTCCTCCCCCTATTGATACGTCCTCCATTGATAAGCTCCAGCTCGCCGCGGACAAGTCCGCAGTCAACTGGCACTCCTTCGTCGGCAGCATCCGACGCGTTCTCTCCGACGCATGGGTTCCCCCCTACCGTGTCCTTGACGTCATCCTCCGCCGCCCCCATGCCCTCCCCCCCACCGAACCTCCCCACCCCGGCGAGACTCCTCCTCTTCCTCCTACTCCTGGCGACCCTCCTCGTGAACCCGATCTTCAGATCACCCCCGACCAAGCCACTGCGGACACTGATTTTATCCTACGCCGCCGTGAATACCTCATCCGCAAAGCCGAGTACGATGCTGCAGTTGAGGCCTATGATCAGGCGGTTGCTGGTCGCGACGCTCACCTCGAGGTCGTCGCCAAATACAAGGTCGACATGGCTGACTTCACCCCCAGACTCATCGCCTGGACAGCTGCTGACACCCGTGCCTGCACCGTTCTCCTTGGAGCTCTCCCTGACTCCCTCATGCGTCGCTTCCAGGCTCGGGAACTCCGTGCCTCGGTCATCTGGGCAGAACTCCATGCCATGTTTGAGCGCCGCGACATCAGCTCCGTCGGCATCCTCTTCCAAGAGTATTTTTCCATCACCCTCGCCACCTGTGACGGAGCAGTCGACTACGTCGGACGCATGCGCGAGGTAGCTGATCGCCTCGAAGCCCGCCAGGCCGGCCTCTCCGAACCTCTTCAAATCCACCGCCTCCTCTTTAACCTCACCCCAGACTACGAATCCCGCCTCCACGCCTTTACCGAAGCCAATCCCATGGCCGGTCTCGCCTCCGTTGAACAGTGGATTATCGACACCGAAGTTAAACTCCGTACACCCATCGTCAACCTCGCCTCCTCCCAACCCACCTCCTCCTCCCTCAACGCTACCCAGCCTCGCAAGCAGGGAAAGAACAACGGCAAAGGAGGAGGTGGGGGCAAGGGAGGTGGTGGTTCGGGAAGCAGCAACAACCGTGGTGGCACCACTGGGGATGAGCACGGCACCACCACTTCGGGTGGACCCACTGCAAGTCGCGGGAGTCGCCCTGGCACGCTTCCTCCCTGCACCTATGTCCGCCGCTATGGTCCTCGGGCTGGAACTCCCTGCGGACAGACCAACCATCCCCCTGGCACGTGCTTCAAGGCTCTCGACGATGCCTGGTACGCGCGGGGTAACGTTGGCACTCCTCCAAAGTGGGGCAACATCTCCCCACGCCCCTCCCCCACCGATATCCAAACCAATCCAGCCTACCTCCCAGCCCACCTCCGCCTCCTTGCTCCCCCCACACCCTTCCTCAACCTCCAGCAGCAGCACCTCCAGCAGCAGCAGCAGCAGCAGCAGCAGCAGCAGTTACAGCAGCTGTTTCACCCTCAGCCGCAGCAGCAGCAGCAGCAGCCACAGCCGCCGCAGCACCCATGGGGGTCAGGACCCCAGCCACAGTGGGGACCCAGCCCTCCTCCCTGGCCGCAGCAGCAGTTGAACTTTGGCACAGCAGCCATGGCCGCTCAAGCCTCACCTGCCCCCCTTTGGGGTGCCCCCCCCCCCCCCAGTAGCACTGCCACCCCTCTCACTCACGAGAGCTTCCTTGGCAACATAGCTATTTCGCCCTCTCTTCCTTCCATGTACCCATCCAACATTAATGAAACCACTTTCCAGTACTCAGTGTCTTCCTCCTCCTCCTCACCCACTCTGGACTTTGTCCTTGACAGTGGGGCCACTGAGACCGCCCTCAAAGACGCTGGTACACTCACACCCCTCTCCCCTCCCACTCAAGTTCACGGTGCTGACAGCAGCTTCACCATCCCATGCACACACCTCTCCACTCTCCCCTGTTCACTCTTCCCCTCTGGCAAGGTAACTGGTCTCCACATCCCCACTCTCCGAAACAACCTCCTCTCCCACCGTGAAATCCAAGGTGCAGGTATCACTGCCGTCTATCCTGGTAATGCCACCTACTGTGACCTTTACCACACTGCCTCCGGCCGCTTCCTCCTCCGCATACCCCTCTGCCCTCGCACTCGCCTCTACACTCTCCGCACTCCGTGGCCATCCTCCTGCCATGTTACCACTCGTGCGGGTACCTCCACCAGCCCTCCCCATCTCCCTCCCTCTCCTCCCACTCCGTCTCCTCCCCACTCCTCCATCCCTTCCTCACTCATTCCAATCCCCTCCACCTCCGACCATCTCTCCCACCCCGCTGTTCTCCTACATCACCGACTCGGCCATCCGAATTTTGCCGCTCTCCGCACTGCCGTCACCTCACGACTTCTCCGCAGCCTCCCTCCAACTCTTCCTCCCTTCCCTCCTCCCCAGCCCCCCCATGCCCCTCCTGCATCCACGGCAAACTCAAACAATCTCCTCACCACAGCCACCCATCCTTCGCTCCTGCACCCATTGACCTTGTCCATATGGACCTTTGGAGGCCCTCTCCCACCCGCTCACGCCAAGGCCATCGCTACATGTTGGTTCTTGTTGACGATCACAGCCGCTACTCCTCCATTTTCCTCCTCCACACCAAAGACCAGGCGCCGACCATTATCATTAACTGGGCAGAGCAATGCCGCACCCACTTCAAACGTCCCATCGGCCGCCTCCACTCTGATGGGGGAGGCGAATTCCTCAACCGCACTCTCTCTCACTACTGCGCCACCCATGGCATCCAACAGACCCACACTCTTCCCCACTCCCCACAGCAGAACGGCGTTGCAGAAAGCCGCATTCGCGAAATCACTAAGATCGCCCGCTGTCTCCTTGCTCACGCCTCCACCCCTCCCTCTCTCTGGGGCTATGCCCTCCTCCATGCTGCCCTCCTCCTCAACCTTCACTCCCATCCCCAACACACTGCCGCTACCCCCACGGAGCTCTGGTCAGGAACCAAACCTGACGCTGCCGGTCTCCGTGTCTGGGGTTGCAAGGCATATGTGCTTATTCCTCCACCCGACCGCACCCAAGGCAAGCTCGCTCCTCGCGCCCTCGAGTGTGTCTACCTCGGACACAACCGCGACTCGCCTGGTTACCTCTTCCTTCACCCTCCCTCTGGTCGCCTCATCCGCAGCATTGACGTTGTGTTCGATGAGACCACCCCGTACTACTCCTCCCCACCACCAGACCCCCTCCCTCCTCCCGCACGTCCTCTCGCTTGGGCCGACACCGTCCTCCCTCCCCTCCTCCCTCCGGCACCTCTTCTCCCACCCCTCCCCACCCCGCTTCCGCCACCTTCCTCCGCCGACGTCTACGATCCCACTGCTCCTGCCTCCCCCACACACTCCACGGCTCCCCCTCCCCCCTCCCCTTCCCACTCCCCTCCTCATCCATCACAGCAGCAGCAGCAGCAGCAGCAGCAGCAGCAGCAGCAGCAGCAGCAGCAGCAGCAGCAGCAGCAGCAGCAGCAGCAGCGGCAGCAGCGGCAGCAGCAGCAGCAGCAGCAGCAGCAGCAGCAGCAGCAGCAGCAGCAGCAGCAGCAGCGGCAGCAGCAGCAGCAGCAGCAGCAGCGCAGCAGGCAGCAGGCAGCAGCAGCAGCCGCAGCAGCAGCAAGGGCAGCACCAGCAGCAACAGCAGCAGCAGCCGCAGCAGCAGCAGCAAGGGCAGCACCAGCAGCGGCAGCAGCAGCAGCCGCAGCAGCCACAACAGCAACAGCAGCCGCAGCAGCAGCAGCAGCAGGGGCAGCAGCCGCAGCAGCAGCAGGGGTTCCAGCAGCACCAGCAGCAGCAGCGGCGCAGGGCAATTGCCCGCTCCTCACCCTTCCTCCTCCCTCGCATGCACACCCGCTCCCTTGACCCCATCCTTGGTGCACCGTCTCCTCCCTCCCTCAACCAACTGGAGGACTCCCATGAGGAGTTCACCATGGTCCGGCGCCACACTCCCTCTCTCACAGTACTTTCCCCTGACCTCCTCGGCGCCCTACTCCTTAGCGCGATCCCCGCTCCCACCATCTTCGTCCCCTCCACTTTCCAAGAGGCTATCACCTGCCCTGACGCCGATAAGTGGATAGCCGCCATCTTTCAGGAATGTGAAGCATTCATCCACAATAACTCCTTCATTGACGTTCCCCTCCCTCCTGACGCCAACCTGGTTGAGGGCAAGTGGATCTTTCGAGTCAAGCAGCTGCCGGGAGAAGAACCAGTCTACAAAGCCCGCTACGTTGCCAAGGGGTTCACCCAGACCTGGGCTGAGGACTACTGGTTCACGTTCGCCCCCACCGTTAAGCAAGCCACCCTAGGCACCCTTCTTGACATCGGTGCAAGAGACGACATGGAGATTGACTCCATGGACGTCTCCAACGCTTTCCTGCAAGGTGAACTGCACGAACGCATCTTTCTCCGCCGACCTCCCGGGTTCCATGCTAAGTTCCCCGACAACACCGTCTGGCAGCTGAAGCGACCGGTCTATGGCCTGAAGCAGGCACCACGAGAATGGCATGCGAAGCTATCTGCTACTCTCCAGTCCCTTGGCTTCTCCCCCTCCCACTCCGACGCCAGCCTCTTCATCCGCTCTTCCCCCAGTCGCTTTTTCATCTCGGTCTACGTTGACGACATGATCCTGCTGGCGGATTCCAGGGCCGACATGGACCAGATGAAGCGGTCACTTCAGGAACGACTCAAGTGCAAGGACCTTGGTCCCCTCCAGAACTACCTCGGCATGGCTATCACCCGTGATCGATCCGCCCGCACCATCACTCTCTCCCAGTCCCACTACATCGGCCAGGTCCTGGAGAGGTTTGAGATGGCGCAGGCCAAACCAGTCTCCACCCCCCTCCCCTTCGGTCACCAACTTGCGCCACCCACCTCCCCCTCCTCCTCCTCCCGGCCCTACGCCGAGCTCGTTGGGTCGCTGATGTACGCGATGATGTGCACCCGCCCCGACCTCGCCTACCCTGTCAGCGTCCTTGCTCGGTTCGTCGGCTCTGGCCGTCACACTGAGGAACACTGGGCTGCCGCCAAGCGGGTCCTTCGCTATCTCTGCGGCACCAAGGATCACGCTCTCACACTGGGTGGATCCTCCCCTCCCCTTCTCTCGGGCTTCAGTGACTCCTCCTGGGCAGACAATCAGCCAGACCGCCGCTCCTCCCAAGGCTATGGCTTTACCCTCGGCAGCGGACTTATCAGCTGGCGTTCCACCCGCTCCTCCGCCATCGCTCTCTCTTCCTGCGAAGCTGAGCTCTATGCGGGCACCATGGCCGCTCAAGAGTCCCGCTGGCTCTGCTTTCTTCTGGCAGAGCTTGGTGCCCCCCAGCGCTGTCCCACGCTCTGGTGTGACAACGCCAGCACCATCCACCTCACCCAGGATCCAGTCTTTCATGGTCGCTCCAAGCATATCGAGCTCCGTTATTTCTTCATCCGCGACCTCGTCCGACAGAATCTTATCGCCGTCCGCAAGATCGCCACTGAAGCCAATTTGGCGGATATCTTCACCAAAGCACTTCTTCGCCCCGCGCACTCTGCTCTCCTCCGCCTCATTGGCCTCGCTCCTCCAGGAGCGCCTTGATTCAGGGGTTGCTGCTCTCCAGCCTTTCCGCATCTCTGCAGGTTAAGGGGTTGTGTTAGAATATCTCCTCTCTTGTAACCTGCATATATGCTATAGGATAGGCTAGAGATAAGCACCCAAACTTAGTTTGGGTGTACAAGCAGGGGTTACCCAATTTGTAGGTTGGAAACCCAACCTTGGTCCAATTATTGGACCCCAAGGGTTGGGATGGGTAGAATTATTGGTCCCCTCCAATAATGTTGGCCCAACTCCAACTTGGCCAACATTATTGGACCCCACCAATAATCTCTAAACCCAACTCCTTGGTTGGGGTCCAATAATGTTCACCTAGGCTAGTTTCCAACTCATCTCCTATGTAAACCCCCCATCCTTTCAATCAATCCATCAACTTCTCTTCTACCTTTTCTTCTCACAGCTCGCACGCTCAACTGCGTTGCTCGCACGCTCAACTGCGTTGCTAGCACGCTCAACTGCGTTGCTAGCACGCTCAACTGCGTTGCTAGCACGCTCAACTGCGTTGCTAGCACGCTCAACTGCGTTGCTAGCACGCTCAACTGCGTTGCTAGCACGCTCAACTGCGTTGCTAGCACGCTCAACTGCGTTGCTAGCACGCTCAACTGCGTTGCTAGCACGCTCAACTGCGTTGCTAGCACGCTCAACTGCGTTGCTAGCACGCTCAACTGCGTTGCTAGCACGCTCAACTGCGTTGCTAGCACGCTCAACTGCGTTGCTAGCACGCTCAACTGCGTTGCTCGCACGCTCAACTGCGTTGCTCGCACGCTCAACTGCGTTGCTCGCACGCTCAACTGCGTTGCTAGCACGCTCAACTGCGTTGCTAGCACGCTCAACTGCGTTGCTAGCACGCTCAACTGCGTTGCTAGCACGCTCAACTGCGTTGCTCGCACGCTCAACTGCGTTGCTCGCACGCTCAACTGCGTTGCTAGCACGCTCAACTGCGTTGCTAGCACGCTCAACTGCGTTGCTAGCACGCTCAACTGCGTTGCTAGCACGCTCAACTGCGTTGCTAGCACGCTCAACTGCGTTGCTAGCACGCTCAACTGCGTTGCTCGCACGCTCAACTGCGTTGCTCGCACGCTCAACTGCGTTGCTCGCACGCTCAACTGCGTTGCTGGCACGCTCAACTGCGTTGCTGGCACGCTCAACTGCGTTGCTAGCACGCTCAACTGCGTTGCTAGCACGCTCAACTGCGTTGCTAGCACGCTCAACTGCGTTGCTCGCACGCTCAACTGCGTTGCTAGCACGCTCAACTGCGTTGCTAGCACGCTCAACTGCGTTGCTAGCACGCTCAACTGCGTTGCTAGCACGCTCAACTGCGTTGCTAGCACGCTCAACTGCGTTGCTAGCACGCTCAACTGCGTTGCTAGCACGCTCAACTGCGTTGCTAGCACGCTCAACTGCGTTGCTAGCACGCTCAACTGCGTTGCTAGCACGCTCAACTGCGTTGCTAGCACGCTCAACTGCGTTGCTAGCACGCTCAACTGCGTTGCTAGCACGCTCAACTGCGTTGCTAGCACGCTCAACTGCGTTGCTAGCACGCTCAACTGCGTTGCTCGCACGCTCAACTGCGTTGCTGGCACGCTCAACTGCGTTGCTGGCACGCTCAACTGCGTTGCTGGCACGCTCAACTGCGTTGCTGGCACGCTCAACTGCGTTGCTGGCACGCTCAACTGCGTCGCTGGCACGCTCTGCTGCGTCGTTGGCACGCTCTGCTGCGCTGCTGGCACGCTCAACTGCGTTGCTGGCACGCTCAACTGCGTTGCTGGCACGCTCAACTGCGTTGCTGGCACGCTCAACTGCGTTGCTGGCACGCTCTGCTGCGTTGCTGGCACGCTCTGCTGCGCTGCTGGCACGCTCAACTGCGTTGCTGGCACGCTCAACTGCGTTGCTCGCACGCTCAACTGCGTTGCTAGCACGCTCAACTGCGTTGCTAGCACGCTCAACTGCGTTGCTAGCACGCTCAACTGCGTTGCTAGCACGCTCAACTGCGTTGCTCGCACGCTCAACTGCGTTGCTGGCACGCTCAACTGCGTTGCTGGCACGCTCAACTGCGTTGCTGGCACGCTCAACTGCGTTGCTGGCACGCTCAACTGCGTTGCTAGCACGCTCAACTGCGTTGCTAGCACGCTCAACTGCGTTGCTGGCACGCTCAACTGCGTTGCTGGCACGCTCAACTGCGTTGCTAGCACGCTCAACTGCGTTGCTAGCACGCTCAACTGCGTTGCTAGCACGCTCAACTGCGTTGCTAGCACGCTCAACTGCGTTGCTGGCACGCTCAACTGCGTTGCTGGCACGCTCAACTGCGTTGCTGGCACGCTCAACTGCGTTGCTGGCACGCTCAACTGCGTTGCTGGCACGCTCAACTGCGTTGCTGGCACGCTCAACTGCGTTGCTGGCACGCTCAACTGCGTTGCTGGCACGCTCAACTGCGTTGCTGGCACGCTCAACTGCGTTGCTAGCACGCTCAACTGCGTTGCTAGCACGCTCAACTGCGTTGCTAGCACGCTCAACTGCGTTGCTAGCACGCTCAACTGCGTTGCTAGCACGCTCAACTGCGTTGCTCGCACGCTCAACTGCGTTGCTCGCACGCTCAACTGCGTTGCTCGCACGCTCAACTGCGTTGCTCGCACGCTCAACTGCGTTGCTCGCACGCTCAACTGCGTTGCTCGCACGCTCAACTGCGTTGCTCGCACGCTCAACTGCGTTGCTAGCACGCTCAACTGCGTTGCTAGCACGCTCAACTGCGTTGCTAGCACGCTCAACTGCGTTGCTAGCACGCTCAACTGCGTTGCTAGCACGCTCAACTGCGTTGCTAGCACGCTCAACTGCGTTGCTAGCACGCTCAACTGCGTTGCTAGCACGCTCAACTGCGTTGCTAGCACGCTCAACTGCGTTGCTAGCACGCTCAACTGCGTTGCTCGCACGCTCAACTGCGTTGCTCGCACGCTCAACTGCGTTGCTCGCACGCTCAACTGCGTTGCTCGCACGCTCAACTGCGTTGCTGGCACGCTCAACTGCGTTGCTAGCACGCTCAACTGCGTTGCTAGCACGCTCAACTGCGTTGCTCGCACGCTCAACTGCGTTGCTAGCACGCTCAACTGCGTTGCTCGCACGCTCAACTGCGTTGCTAGCACGCTCAACTGCGTTGCTAGCACGCTCAACTGCGTTGCTAGCACGCTCAACTGCGTTGCTAGCACGCTCAACTGCGTTGCTAGCACGCTCAACTGCGTTGCTGGCACGCTCAACTGCGTTGCTGGCACGCTCAACTGCGTTGCTGGCACGCTCAACTGCGTTGCTGGCACGCTCAACTGCGTTGCTGGCACGCTCAACTGCGTTGCTGGCACGCTCAACTGCGTTGCTGGCACGCTCAACTGCGTTGCTGGCACGCTCAACTGCGTTGCTAGCACGCTCAACTGCGTTGCTAGCACGCTCAACTGCGTTGCTAGCACGCTCAACTGCGTTGCTAGCACGCTCAACTGCGTTGCTAGCACGCTCAACTGCGTTGCTAGCACGCTCAACTGCGTTGCTCGCACGCTCAACTGCGTTGCTCGCACGCTCAACTGCGTTGCTCGCACGCTCAACTGCGTTGCTGGCACGCTCAACTGCGTTGCTAGCACGCTCAACTGCGTTGCTAGCACGCTCAACTGCGTTGCTAGCACGCTCAACTGCGTTGCTAGCACGCTCAACTGCGTTGCTCGCACGCTCAACTGCGTTGCTAGCACGCTCAACTGCGTTGCTAGCACGCTCAACTGCGTTGCTAGCACGCTCAACTGCGTTGCTAGCACGCTCAACTGCGTTGCTAGCACGCTCAACTGCGTTGCTGGCACGCTCAACTGCGTTGCTGGCACGCTCAACTGCGTTGCTGGCACGCTCAACTGCGTTGCTGGCACGCTCAACTGCGTTGCTGGCACGCTCAACTGCGTTGCTGGCACGCTCAACTGCGTTGCTAGCACGCTCAACTGCGTTGCTAGCACGCTCAACTGGATGCTCGCACGCTCAACTGCGTTGCTCGCACGCTCAACTGCGTTGCTCGCACGCTCAACTGCGTTGCTAGCACGCTCAACTGCGTTGCTGGCACGCTCAACTGCGTTGCTAGCACGCTCAACTGCGTTGCTAGCACGCTCAACTGCGTTGCTAGCACGCTCAACTGCGTTGCTAGCACGCTCAACTGCGTTGCTAGCACGCTCAACTGCGTTGCTAGCACGCTCAACTGCGTTGCTAGCACGCTCAACTGCGTTGCTAGCACGCTCAACTGCGTTGCTAGCACGCTCAACTGCGTTGCTAGCACGCTCAACTGCGTTGCTAGCACGCTCAACTGCGTTGCTAGCACGCTCAACTGCGTTGCTAGCACGCTCAACTGCGTTGCTAGCACGCTCAACTGCGTTGCTAGCACGCTCAACTGCGTTGCTAGCACGCTCAACTGCGTTGCTCGCACGCTCAACTGCGTTGCTCGCACGCTCAACTGCGTTGCTCGCACGCTCAACTGCGTTGCTCGCACGCTCAACTGCGTTGCTGGCACGCTCAACTGCGTTGCTAGCACGCTCAACTGCGTTGCTAGCACGCTCAACTGCGTTGCTCGCACGCTCAACTGCGTTGCTAGCACGCTCAACTGCGTTGCTCGCACGCTCAACTGCGTTGCTAGCACGCTCAACTGCGTTGCTAGCACGCTCAACTGCGTTGCTAGCACGCTCAACTGCGTTGCTAGCACGCTCAACTGCGTTGCTAGCACGCTCAACTGCGTTGCTGGCACGCTCAACTGCGTTGCTGGCACGCTCAACTGCGTTGCTGGCACGCTCAACTGCGTTGCTGGCACGCTCAACTGCGTTGCTGGCACGCTCAACTGCGTTGCTGGCACGCTCAACTGCGTTGCTGGCACGCTCAACTGCGTTGCTGGCACGCTCAACTGCGTTGCTAGCACGCTCAACTGCGTTGCTAGCACGCTCAACTGCGTTGCTAGCACGCTCAACTGCGTTGCTAGCACGCTCAACTGCGTTGCTAGCACGCTCAACTGCGTTGCTAGCACGCTCAACTGCGTTGCTCGCACGCTCAACTGCGTTGCTCGCACGCTCAACTGCGTTGCTCGCACGCTCAACTGCGTTGCTGGCACGCTCAACTGCGTTGCTAGCACGCTCAACTGCGTTGCTAGCACGCTCAACTGCGTTGCTAGCACGCTCAACTGCGTTGCTAGCACGCTCAACTGCGTTGCTCGCACGCTCAACTGCGTTGCTAGCACGCTCAACTGCGTTGCTAGCACGCTCAACTGCGTTGCTAGCACGCTCAACTGCGTTGCTAGCACGCTCAACTGCGTTGCTAGCACGCTCAACTGCGTTGCTGGCACGCTCAACTGCGTTGCTGGCACGCTCAACTGCGTTGCTGGCACGCTCAACTGCGTTGCTGGCACGCTCAACTGCGTTGCTGGCACGCTCAACTGCGTTGCTGGCACGCTCAACTGCGTTGCTAGCACGCTCAACTGCGTTGCTAGCACGCTCAACTGGATGCTCGCACGCTCAACTGCGTTGCTCGCACGCTCAACTGCGTTGCTCGCACGCTCAACTGCGTTGCTAGCACGCTCAACTGCGTTGCTGGCACGCTCAACTGCGTTGCTAGCACGCTCAACTGCGTTGCTAGCACGCTCAACTGCGTTGCTAGCACGCTCAACTGCGTTGCTAGCACGCTCAACTGCGTTGCTAGCACGCTCAACTGCGTTGCTAGCACGCTCAACTGCGTTGCTAGCACGCTCAACTGCGTTGCTAGCACGCTCAACTGCGTTGCTAGCACGCTCAACTGCGTTGCTAGCACGCTCAACTGCGTTGCTAGCACGCTCAACTGCGTTGCTGGCACGCTCAACTGCGTTGCTGGCACGCTCAACTGCGTTGCTGGCACGCTCAACTGCGTTGCTGGCACGCTCAACTGCGTTGCTGGCACGCTCAACTGCGTTGCTGGCACGCTCAACTGCGTTGCTAGCACGCTCAACTGCGTTGCTAGCACGCTCAACTGGATGCTCGCACGCTCAACTGCGTTGCTCGCACGCTCAACTGCGTTGCTCGCACGCTCAACTGCGTTGCTCGCACGCTCAACTGCGTTGCTAGCACGCTCAACTGCGTTGCTGGCACGCTCAACTGCGTTGCTAGCACGCTCAACTGCGTTGCTAGCACGCTCAACTGCGTTGCTAGCACGCTCAACTGCGTTGCTAGCACGCTCAACTGCGTTGCTAGCACGCTCAACTGCGTTGCTAGCACGCTCAACTGCGTTGCTAGCACGCTCAACTGCGTTGCTAGCACGCTCAACTGCGTTGCTAGCACGCTCAACTGCGTTGCTAGCACGCTCAACTGCGTTGCTAGCACGCTCAACTGCGTTGCTGGCACGCTCAACTGCGTTGCTAGCACGCTCAGCTGCGTTGCTAGCACGCTCAGCTGCGTTGCTAGCACGCTCAACCGCAAGGCAGCGTGAAAGTATCTTCCCCGTATCTTGCAAAAGCAAATCAACCCAGGAAACCACCCCCCCACCCACACCCCCCCCTTTCCACACCACCCGCACCCACCTTGTGAAACATCTCCCTGGCCTTCTCAAAAAATGATGCCTCTGCCTTGGTGCACATCTCCCGCAAAAGCATCTCATCTCCCCACCAACCCACCCCCGCACCCACCTTGTGAAACATCTCCCTGGCTTTCTCAAGAAAGGATGCCTCTGCCTTGGTGTCGCGCGTGGGTCTCGCACTCATGTTCAAGTTCCAGTTGCCCTGCCATACCATCATTCACCAACACAACGGGGTGCGTTGGAGGAGGTATAGACTTCGAGGTTAGTGCACTCACTCACTCATTCATTCATTCATTCAACAACACTGCCGTGCAATTCTCTTGAGGTCTACAATGTGCTTGAGGGGACCGAGCAATGAGCTCTGCTCTGCAACCCACTCAAAGGCGTCTCAACTCAAAACGCCTACCAGGGCAACAAGGGCAGCAGTGCATTTCTCAAAACAAGGGCAGCAGTGCATTTCTCAAAACAAGGGCAGCAGTGCATTTCTCAAAACAAGGGCAGCAGTGCATTTCTCAGGTGAGAGGTCCACGATGCGCTTGAGCGTGTCCTTGGGTGGACTAGGTAATGAGACAAGAGATGCTACCCACCAGAGCAACCAGCGCAGCAGTGCACTTCTCAGGCGAGAGGTCCACGATGCGCTTGAGTGTGTCCTTGGCCGCCGCATGGTCGTCCCTGTCCGCCTCCGCGCGGCTGCGCAGAAGCAGTGCGTCCACACTGTCTGGTGCACGCTGCACCACCGCTGATATCTGCACCAGACGAACACATGGGGAATAGGGGGGGGGTCGGTGGGGGGGGGGGGGGGGGGGGGAGAGAGGTTACGGCATCTCAGACAGCAGCAGCAAGGCGTCCACAGTGTCTAGTGCGCGCTGTAGCACGGCTGAGGAGCAAGCGAGGACCAGGGAGCAGCAGAATAGGTTGCGACATTTCACAAGGCAGCAGGAGAGTACACATGATGACACCACTGCGCTCGTATGCCAGAGCTCTCAACTGCCAGAGCACAAGAACCCCATTTCCCAACCCCCCCAACCCACCAACCCCCCCAACCCCCCCAACTCCCCAACTCCTCTCACATGTGTGTGTCATTGGCAGCACCCATTCCCCCCCCCCCGCTTGCTCTCACATGCGTCATGGCAGTGGCGTTGTCTCGGCGGTCCAGTGCCATCACTGCCAGGCGCAGGTGACAGTCCAGGTACGACGGGTACTGAGGGGTGGGTAAGGGGGGTTGGGGTGGGGTGGGGTGGGGTGGGGTGGGGTGGGGTGGGGTGATAAAACGCAACGGGTAGCTGGTGATATGACAGGAGAAGCACCCAGGCTGAAACAAAGGCGGGGCAGCTGCGAGTACGAAGGTACATCTAAGTTGAACACAAACCGATAATGGGGCTCATCACACCTGAGAGAGGATGAGGCGGTGCAGGGCAGCGGCCTGGGTGAGGCAGCAGGTGCGCTCGAGGGAGAGAGCGAGGTTGAACACCACCGTCACCTTCTCCACTGGCAGTGCCTCCCTCCCTGCATCCCCACCACCCGCTGCGTCTGCAGCCCCCTCAGGGTGCAGGATAGGCGCCCATGGCCCGTGTGGCCCCAATGCCTCCTTGTATGCTGCCACTGCTTCCTGTAGCGATGGGGGAGCAGCAGTGGTGAGCCAGGGACAAATGAGAGAACGATAGAGGGACAAACGGACAGGGGGAGAGCAGCAGAGGGACAGGGGAAGGTGACTAGCGGTGTTGGAACGGAGGGGTCTGTACAAAAGCAAGTACAACACAAATGGTTTGAAAGCAAACACTCACTGGTGACTATGGTACATGCACTATCATGCACTATCATGCACTATCATGCACTATCATGCACTATCATGCACTATCATGCACTATCATGCACTATCATGCACTATCATGCACTATCATGCACTATCATGCACTATCATGCACTATCATGCACTATCATGCACTATCATGCACTATCATGCACTATCATGCACTATCATGCACTATCATGCACTATCATGCACTATCATGCACTATCATGCACTATCATGCACTATCATGCACTATCATGCACTATCATGCACTATCATGCACTATCATGCACTATCATGCACTATCATGCACTATCATGCACTATCATGCACTATCATGCACTATCATGCACTATCATGCACTATCATGCACTATCATGCACTATCATGCACTATCATGCACTATCATGCACTATCATGCACTATCATGCACTATCATGCACTATCATGCACTATCATGCACTATCATGCACTATCATGCACTATCATGCACTATCATGCACTATCATGCACTATCATGCACTATCATGCACTATCATGCACTATCATGCACTATCATGCACTATCATGCACTATCATGCACTATCATGCACTATCATGCACTATCATGCACTATCATGCACTATCATGCACTATCATGCACTATCATGCACTATCATGCACTATCATGCACTATCATGCACTATCATGCACTATCATGCACTATCATGCACTATCATGCACTATCATGCACTATCATGCACTATCATGCACTATCATGCACTATCATGCACTATCATGCACTATCATGCACTATCATGCACTATCATGCACTATCATGCACTATCATGCACTATCATGCACTATCATGCACTATCATGCACTATCATGCACTATCATGCACTATCATGCACTATCATGCACTATCATGCACTATCATGCACTATCATGCACTATCATGCACTATCACGCATCTCACCTCATGCGCGCCCCTCTCATGCTGCAGTGCAGCAATGTTGTTCACGAGCTGCCACGGCACGCCCTCCCTGCCCACCGCCTTCACCATGCGCTCGTATGCCTGCACTCCAGGGCGACAAGCGGTGGGGGTGGGGGGGAAGACAACAGGTGAGGGGAGGCGGGTGACATGCGAAGGAGAGGGTAAGCGAATGCCACGGCATGCCCTCGTTGCCCACCGCCTTGACCATGCGCTCATATGCCTGCACTCCAGGGGAAGAGAGGAGGGGTGGGAGGAGGAGAGGAGAATTGGTGAGGTGCGGTAGGGCATTGCGGGTGGCATGGGGATGGAAAGGGGATGCGACTGCCAATACCTCGCTCATATGCATGCACTCCAGTAGAGCTCGCAAAAGGAGGACGAATTCGAGGGGCACACAGCAACACATGAGTCAAGGCAGGGCAATGGCAGTGACATGGGGGCGAGTGGGGCAGAAGAGCGTGTATCAGCGCGAGTATGTGGCCCTTCACAGCAACCCTTGCAGAGCAGCCAAGCACTGCAGCGCACCGTGAAGCTGGGGTGTGAGCGCACCGTGAAGCTGGGGTGTGAGCGCACCGTGAAGCTGGGGTGTGAGCGCACCGTGAAGCTGGGGTGTGAGCGCACCGTGAAGCTGGGGTGTGAGCGCACCGTGAAGCTGGGGTGTGAGCGCACCGTGAAGCTGGGGTGTGAGCGCACCTTCTTGAGAGAGTCGAGTGCAGCAGGAAGGTCGGAGGAGACGAGCAGCTCTCCCACCTCCAACCACGCCTGGTGTCGCACAGAGCCGTGGGGAAGCAGCACGTAGGAAGCAGCAGGATGCAGCCGTGGAGAAGAAAGAAGGACGAGACACATGTGAGCCACGCCGAGGATGCAGCAGGGGAGCGATGCCTCTGCAATTGGAACCAGCATTCACCTCACTCCCACATGCGCACACCATGCCATGTGTACACTCCGCCACACACGTCCCAACATGCTTGATCCTCATGCGTGCCCTCCACCACAACACTCATGCCACATGCCCACATGTTGCCCCATGGTCACACATGGACACACATGGTCACGCATGGTCACGCATGGTCACGCATGGTCACGCATGGTCACGCATGGTCACGCATGGTCACGCATGGTCACGCATGGTCACGCATGGTCACGCATGGTCACGCATGGTCACGCATGGTCACGCATGGTCACGCATGGTCACGCATGGTCACGCATGGTCACGCATGGTCACGCATGGTCACGCATGGTCACGCATGGTCACGCATGGTCACGCATGGTCACGCATGGTCACGCATGGTCACGCATGGTCACGCATGGTCACGCATGGTCACGCATGGTCACGCATGGTCACGCATGGTCACGCATGGTCACGCATGGTCACGCATGGTCACGCATGGTCACGCATGGTCACGCATGGTCACGCATGGTCACGCATGGTCACGCTGTTGCACCTATGGTCACATGGTCACACGCACTCACGTCCATGTCGGAGGGGCAGTGTTGGGTGATCTTGCGGAAGCACGCCAGGGCTTGGTCCTGCCGGCCCTGCTGCAGGTGAATGGCGCCCACCAGCTGATGGGGGAGGAGGGGGGGGGAAGGGAGGATGTAGAGAGGAGGAGCGAAAGCTGACATGGCTCGCACTGTCTATCCGTCTCCCTCTCACCTTGAGAGCAACGCTGTTGATGGGATGAACGGCCAGCACCTTCTGCGGGTTACCACCGCCCCAACTTGCTGTTCCCCCCTTCCCTGCCTTCTCTCACCTTGACCAGGCACGCAGTTGGACCAGGCACGCAGATGGACCAGGCACGCAGTTGGACGAGGCGTGCACTACACTAGGATATTGAAAGTACAAAATACAAAGTGTGAGATTGAGGGCTAACATTAACAGCTGAGCTTGGGCGTTGGGCATGGGCTTGGGCGTTGGGCTTGGGCGTTGGGCGTGGGCGTTGGGCTTGGGCGTTGGGCGTGGGCGTTGGGCTTGGGCGTTGGGCTTGGGCGTTGGGCTTGGGCTTGGGCGTTGGGCTTGGGCGTCGGGCTTGGGCGTTGGGCGTGGGCGTTGGGCTTGGGCGTTGGGCGTGGGCGTCGGGCTTGGGCGTTGGGCTTGGGCGTTGGGCTTGGGCTTGGGCGTTGGGCTTGGGCGTTGGGCTTGGGCTTGGGCGTTGGGCTTGGGCGTTGGGCTTGGGCGTTGGGCGTGGGCGTTGGGCTTGGGCGTTGGGCTTGGCATTGGCAGGTCTATTGGCAGGTAGGTCTATTGGTGGGGTGCACGGCCAGCACGTTCTGCGGGTTACCAGCACCCATGCACCTCAACTCGCTGTTCCCCCCTTCCTTCCCTCCCTCCTCTCACCTTGAGCGCCTCACTGTTAGTGGGGTGCACGGCCAGGCCAGCACCTTCTCCAGTGCGCCCCGCACCTTATGGCGCAGCTCAAAGCCGTTTCGCTTGCCCTCTTCCTGTATCCCCATCCCCCTTCCCCTCCACCCCCTCTCACCTTGAGAGCATCGCTGTTGGTGGGGTGCACGGCCAACACCTTCTCCAGTGTGCCCAGTGCTGCCTTGGCATCACCCAGACTCAGCTGAATCTGCCCCAACCCTGCACGCAGGCTCGATGGGGAGGAGAGGGTGGTGAGGGGGAGGGAGAGCGTGCACCCCGAGAGTCAGTCACATGGCTGCCAGAATGCCTTCACTTGGATCTGATTCCCTCACGCTTCACTGCAACAAAAAAGTGCGAGGTATGAGGCGTGGAGAGCAAGGGGAGAGTGGGGGTGGGAGTGTACTGTAGAAGGGCAGGGTGAACTCCCCAGGCTGCGTTTGAGCGGACTCACAAGTCACAAGGCAGCAGGTGCGAGCATGAGAGAGCAACAGAGAGTGGAGGTGGGCGTACCATAGTAGGGCAGAGCGAACTCCCCTGGCTGTACCGTCTCCGTGGCCGCCTTGTAATATGCAAACGCCTTCTTCCTGTCGCCCTGTGCCATGACACACACGACCAAGGGAGAGGGGAGAGAGAGAGACGGGAAGAAGCCATTTTACGGAGGGGGTGCTGGTACAAGCAGGCAGGCTGAACCGTCGCCGTGGCCGCCTTGTAATATGCAAACGCCTTCTTCCTGTCGCCCTGTGCCATGACATAAGGGAGGGGAGAGAGGGGGGGACGGAGGGGTGACGAGAAGGGAAAGAAGAAGGAGAATGAGGACACTTGTAGTGGTATGGAAAGAAGCAAGCAAGGGAGGGGAAGTGAGACAGAATGGCACGGAAAAGAAACCCCACCTGTGCATGGTAGGTGCGCGCGAGGCAGTAGTAGGCTTCAGCACGCGGCAGAGAAGCCTCGGTGCTGGCGAGGGCGAGCGCAGCCAGAGGGTCGACGAGGCCGTGCAGAGAGGGTCCAGCGAGGAAAGCATGGTTGGCAAGATGGTTGAGCGCCATGGGGTGGAAGGGGAACGCGTGGAACGCTGCTAGCATGCGCTGCTGGCCCCGCTGCACTGCTGTGACTGTTGATGGCGAAGGAGAGGAGAGGGGCACAGGGGACGTGCAGGAAGGGCGGTTATGCAGGGCAGGCATACAGGCTGAGCAGTGGGGTGGGGATGGGAGCACGTGAGCGAAGGAGAAAGGGGGTCCACGAGCGCATCAGCATTCCCATGGCAGCTGCAGCACCCTGTCCAGCGCCTGCCTGACCTTGCCCGTGCATTCACACACGCATATAAGCCCAATCCATGCCCCGTGCCCCGTACCATCATCGAAATTCACGTCTAACAACCCAAGAGCCACGAGTGCATCTGCATTCCCCGGCTCCAGTCCCAGCACCCACTCCAGCACCTGCCTAACCTTACACCCATGTCCACACGGATAGAGACACCTGAGCAAGCACATGGACCAAGCACCATACCATCATCCGAGTTCAAATCCAGCAGCCCCAGCGCCACCAGTGCATCCGCATTCCCTGGTTCCAGCTGCAGCACCCGCTCCAGCGCCTGCCTGGCCTTGCCCGCGTGGAACTCCCTGCGTGCTGCTGCTGGCTGGCGGGCTGCTGAGGAGGCAAAGAGACGCAGGTGGCACAGGCCAATGCCCAGCCGGACGGACGGAGGGCAATTCGGGTGCAGCTGCAGCACCTTCTGCTTGGGGGGGGAGGGAGGGGGGAAGGGAGTGAGAAAGGCTTTGTGTTTGAAAGAGGGAAGAGAGGGGCGGAGGAGGCGAAGGGGCGCAGATGGCAGAGGCCGATGCACAGGCCAAAGAGAGAAATAGGGCGGAGGATGGTGATGAGGACGAGGAAGCTGAACAGGTAGCAGTAAAGTGTGGGAAAAGGGGCGAAATATGGGACCTGTGCTGTGGAGTTTGTGACGATGGCATGCGGTGGGCGTATGGGGTTCAGTGGCGGTGCATGCATCAGGTGCAGTGAAGCACAAGGGGCAGATAGGCGGTAGAAGGCGAAGGAGAAAGGGGAGAGAAGAAGGGGAGCTGAAGGGGGAGAGGGCAAAGGGCCGACCCACCTTATAGAGGTTGAGGGCGTCTTGGAACTTGGCCTTGTGGAATAGCACACACGCCTGCACTCACATGCACATGCAGCAGGGCAGCGCACAGACGCAGCACACGGAGCATCAGGACCTACCAGTGACGCACACACACATGCAAGCAGCTGGCAGGCATTTTCCAACGACCAGAAAGGCGCAACAAGCAGCAGCGCCCACCTTCCCCAGCAGAGCGGGCACGTAGTCAGGAGCGCCAGCGAGGGCAAGGGAGAACATCTCCTCTGCCTGATTCACCTCGCCCTTCACCAGCTGCAGTTGACCTGTGGGTGCAGAGCGGGAAAAGAAGAGAGGGAGGAACAAGTGGGAAAGGGATGGTGACACAGGAGAGGGAGACGCGCGAGGAGAGTAGGAGATGCACAGAAAGCCAACTGGAATTGCCAGCGCCACTCACTTTCCCCAACCTTTCGCGCTTCCGCTCCCCCCCACCCCGTCCCCCACCGTTCATCCTCTCCCCACCTGTCCCCTACCGCGTGTGCGCACCTTTCCCCACCCACGTGGCAACAGCTTCACTGCTGATCCTCGCAGCCTTGTTGTAGAAGTCAACCACCTTGATCAGCACCTCGTCCCGCTTCTGCCGCCGTGCCACGCGCCCCAGCCCCGTGTAGTGCGCCCCTAGCGCGTTTAGCATCGCGATGCGCTCATGGCGAGATGTCTCATACACTCGCTCCGCATCTGATGGGTGGGGTTGAGGCGGGAAAGACGGGCGGGGAGGGGAAGGGGAGCGGTGTATGCCGCCGTGCCACGCGCCCCAGCCCCGTGTAGTGCGCCCCTAGCGCGTTCAGCATGGCTATGCGCTCGTGGCGAGACGTATCATACACTCGCTCCGCATCTGGATGGGGGAGGGAAAATGGGGCAGCAGGGGGGAAGGGTCAGGGAGCGGAGGTGTGTGATAGGTATGGCTCCACAGTCAGCCCTGTGCGGTGCGCTGCGCGCCCACGACACTACAAACAGGATGCCCAAACAAAACGAGGGATGCTGGCCATGGTAAGAAACAGAATGCTCGTTCCGGCAAACGTTAATCATGATGTGCGCCTGAGTGTGAGTGCGTGCGTGGTGAAAGGGCGGTGGTACCTGGCGAGGTGCCTTCCGATAGGATGTCGAGGAAGGCAGCTGTGTTGCCTTGCTTGAAGTACGCCCGCTGCCAGGACAGCACAGGGTAGCGAGTTTTGACAACACGGGATGGAAAGCAGGGATGCAGGAGGGTCGGCCAGAGGTCATGGTTGCTGCCAAAAGCAGGTGTGAGGTGTCTTTGTTTTCTATGTCAGTCCGCGTAAGTCCGCGTCAAGCCATGACAGTCCATGTCTGTCAGCCCATGTCTTTAGATGTCAGTACACGACAGTCCATGTCAGAACATGTCAGTCCATGTCAGAACATGTCAGTCCGCGTCAGAACATGTCAGATGTCCGAACATGCGAATTCGGACAGGTGTTAGCAATGCACGGAAGAATGCCTTCCTCTAGCCATTACTCGAGCTACCGTCAGCATTGAAAAAAAAGATCTCCCTACAGTTCGCCGTTAGCCACCCGCCAGTCTGCACCCACACGACTGCTGACAGACTACAATGAGGAATTAATCTCTACCCGCCAGGGGGCACTGCACGCACCGCGAGGTGCAGCCAGCAGTCGAGCGGCGCCTGCTCGCCCTTGAGAATGTCGAGCAGATCGCCGTGATCGGACGGCAGGCGATCCACGTCCACCGCCACCGCCTCGCCCGTGCCGTGCAGCGGAATCAGGATGTAGCGCGGCGCGCCGGGCTCCTCCGCTGATGCCGCCATGGTTACCCGGCTTCACGGTTTCTAATGTGAACGGGTCACGCCGTGGAGTGAAGCGCGGGCGAAAGCGGCTGTGGAAGAAGAGAAAAAAATATATCTAAGAAGCGAAATCCATCAACCTAGATTTCCGCCGAAGCTCCCCCGTTCGTAAAACTACGTCAACCTGGCATCGCAGTTATGGGACTCGGAAATGGCTACAACATGCTGAAACAAGATGTTCAGCATTCCGCTATAAGACGCCTACATAATCAATCGGTGGTCACAAAAAAATATATAGAGATTATGCGAACTAAACGTACGAGTGGATGCATTCTAATATCTAGGGACCTTCTTTGCAGCACAGCGGAGAAACTGTTATAACACTCTCTACACGGGTAATTGCAGCACCAATCAGGAAAAAGCGCGGGAGCTGGTCACCACTGTTCACCCGCCTTCCGTCAGTACTGTACAGTACACTCCGTTCTGACACAAATCACCTGACTGCTTCAATCAACGGGCTGCGTTTGCGTGCCGCAGCGTCGTAGGCGCGCTGCCGTCCGACTGCCATGAGCTGATCTCGAGGGTTCAAATCAAGCCGCGGTGATCCGCCATTCCCAACGCTCCCACTTCACACCTTCGCTTCTCCCGTCCTTCGCAGACGCTCTTGAGAGTGGGTCCTCGAGATTGCCACGGCCATGGCGTCTGTGCGATGTTGTACTTTCAGCGCATAATTGTTTTCCATGCCATCAGCGTACATTTGTATTTTAATCTGAAACTCTGAATTTCCCCTTCATCACATCGTGATGCCTGTCGTTCCGGACGAGGAGGAGAGGTTATGCGGAGCTTCAGAACCAGATAGCAACGACAAAATAGAGCCCGATTTCCCGCCGTCTACGCTCTCTCTCGCCGCTCGTGCATGGAAACTCGCCCGCACGGGGCTACTCACGCTTCTTCTGACAGCAGCAATCGGATTTATCCTGATCGCCATCAATCATACGATCCCACCGCGCTTCGACTGCCTCTCGCTCGTCCGTTCAGACCAAACAGTCGTCGTTGCTTCTCCCACGGACTCCGCACTGGCAGCGCCGGCTGCGACGGTTTCCGAAACTGCTCGCCAGTCGATGTCGCGGCGAGAACATCTGAGTTTCGAAGAAATTCTTCGTGATCCGCTGAATCCTGCCCTTCAAGCGGCGATTGGGGAGCAAGGATCCCTTCAGGATGAAATTACGCCAACTCACGTGGTCGACCGAGGGATAACGCGACCGCGTATGGATCGCAAGCCAGGAAAGGCCGGCCGAGGAAGCTCGGGTTCCAAGCTGACGACGCGGCAAGTTGAGTTGACGACTCTGGAGTCAAGTCAGAATAAGACTCTAGATTCAGGAGAGGATCGTCTAGAGTTCACCTTTCCACAGGGAATTCCGGGTTCCGCGCTGCTGAATCGAGAAGCCGTTAGAGCCTTCCGCTCGCGGCTCCGCTGTCTGACGACTAGAGGCCGCTGGCGGTACGACGCGACGCCACGTGTCCTGCCGTGGGCGCTGCCGAGCCGGTGGGACGGCGGGTGGCAGTGCGACGAGGGGCACGTGGCGCAAGGCGGGGGAAGGGTGGCTTTCGACGAGGCGGACGGAATCGCCCTGGCGCACGGCATAGCCGCGCTGGCGGACGGAAATCCCGCGGAGGCAGAACGACGGGCGCTAGAGCAAAGCGGGACTGGGATTACTCAGGATCAGGCGGGCAGAAGCGGGTATCCGGGCCGGTGGAGAGTACGGGAGAGTCTGAAATACCGTTGGAACGTTAACAGCAAGTGTGGGCCCTGGCGCGAGTTCGATAGCAGCGAGCTGGTGAGGAAACTGGCGGGTCGACGGCTGCTGATCGTGGGCGACTCGCTCAATGGCATGCTGTTCGCTGCTCTGCGCAACGCACTGTTCATGGGTTTCAACCGCACGCCCGGCCAGAAACGACGAAAGCTGCCGCCCAACTGCGCTCCTACGGACAGCCTGCCTGCGTTCTGTGGGCAGTGGGGGAGGGAGATAACGTCACGTGCGCACCACGCGCTGTGCGTGGAGGACACGTGCGCGGATGCCAGCGTGGCGTTCGTGAGGAGTGACGCGCTGGACCCCTCGCCGAACCTCACCTTGGCTTGGCCGAAGCTGATTGGCTTTCCATGGCTGCATCTGCTGAACGGGCGCAGCAGTGGCCGGGGAACCAGAGATGTGGAACAGGGCGAAGACGCTTCTACGGAACGACAAGTTGCTGCAATTGTACTGAATCGCGGAGCACACTATACAGAGGACGAGCAGTTGGTATTAGAGCTGAACGCCACCCTCTCTGCCATCCGTGCCGTCGCCCCCAACGTCCTCCTCATCTACCGCAACACACCTCCCGGCCACGCCCACTGCAAGCGCCGCTCAAAGCCCTTTAAATACAGACAAGACGCCGCCCAGCTGCCGTACCACTGGGGGGACTTTGGGCGGCAGAACGAGCTGGCGAGGCGGGTTGTGGAGCGGTATGGGGGTGTGTACTGGGATCTGGATACATCCACAGGGTTGAGACCAGATGGGCATGTGATGCTCAAGGATGGGAGGGTGGATTGCTTGCACTACTGCCTGCCAGGCCCGGCTGACACATGGGTGCGCATGCTGTTCAACATGCTCATGGACCTGCTGTGATGCTCTCATGGGGGGTGTGACAGGCATCCTGGTGCTGCCTGCACTACTGTCTGCCTTGCCCAGCCGAAACATGGGTGCGCATGCTGTTCAACGTGCTGTGGACCTGCTGTGATTCTCTTGTGGGAGAGGGGACAGCTGACAAGCAGGTGGTGCCTGCCTGCACTACTGCCTGCCAGGCCCGGCTGACACATGGGTGACCGTGCCGTTTAACGTTATGATTGACCTGCTGTGATGCTCTCATCACATGTGGGGGTGCTGACAAGCAGGTGCTGCCTGCACTACTGCCTGCTAGGGCCAGCTGACACGTGGGTGCACATGCTGTTCAACATTGTTGTAACACTGTAACATTGTTGTGTCCGCATCACTGCCTGGTAGACCCAGCTACCCGACCGGCACTTGTAAAACACGTGTATTTATGGATTCCAGTGGAGTGGACCTTATGTTGTATCAGTTGTGGAAACAGCAAGTACTGGATGCAAGGAAGAATGGTGTTGCAATTATCTGCAACACTGCCTGCCAGGCACAGCTGATATACCGTATGGGAGCAAGTGTGTTTATATAGTCCATTGGAGTGGACCTTTATGTTGCACCAGTTGTGAAAACAGGAAGTAAGAAATTCAGTGAAGCACAAAGCTGTAAACACATCACGCATCAAAGCACAAAGCTGTGAGTACAGCACTCAGCTAAGCACGAAGGTGTAGGTATAGCATGCATTGAAGCACAAAGCTCTAAGTTCAGCATGCATCAAAGCACAAAGCTGTAAGTTTAACACACATCAAAGCACAAAACTGTCAGCATAGCATGCATTGAAGCATCAAGCCTACAGAGGACAGCATACAATGCACGGGATTAGTCCCCCATGCACAACCCATCAGCGGTTCTGTACAGGTAGGTCAGCAAGGTCAGTGGTGAGTCAGGTCAGATTTCAAGCGACAGGTGGAGCCCATCCAGGAGGGAGATGAACTCAAGCCCACTCTCCTCCCACTCCTGCTCCTGCCCCTGCTTCTCGCCTCTTCCCGTGCTCCTGCTTCTGCTTTGTGACCACCTGTGGTGCGCCTTCTCCCCCCCACATGCTCTGTACCCCTGTACCATTCTCCACTCCTTTGCATCACACTCACCCGCCCCTCTCCCATCGTTCCTGCAATGCCGATTGCCATCCAGGGCGATGAGACGAGGCAAAGGCCCATTGCTCGTGATGCTGCTGCCGCTGCTGTTACTGATGCTGCTGCTGCTCGTGCGTCTGCCTGGTTCCTCCCTTGTGATCAAAGCCCTCTCGCCTGCCGCTGCTGCGCCATCCCCGCCAGGGCAGCAGGAGCAGCAACCCACTGCCGCCCCTCCATCTCCTCCCTCCGACCCTTGGCTGCTGCTGGCCAGGGAAGGACCTGCTTCGCCTCCACACAGACAGGCGCTACCTGGTGCAGGCGCACCTGGCCTGGCCGCACATGCCTGGTGCTTTTGAGTCAACTCAACAGGCACACCTGATCTGGCCGCTCCTGGAATAGCAGCGCACACCTGGTGCTGCGATGTGCGACAGGCACATGCGTAAGGCAAGCAGCACTGGTGTGCGCACATGGGTGTAGCAGCAGTAGCAGAATCTGTGTGACGCCCGCTGCGCCTGGTCGTAGCAGTAGCAGCTGCGGCGGCGGCGGTGGCAGCAGCAGTGGAAGCACGTCGAGCTGGACCACCATCACGAGCACAAGCAGCAGCAGCACCAGCAGCAGCAGCAGCAGCGGCTGCACCTGTGCGGATGGCAGCAGCAGGCATGGCGTCCGGCAGCGATGCAACACGGCAGACATACACAGACGCGGCCTTGTGAGACGAGTCCGTCTGCTCAAAACACGCCACCCCTGCTGCCTGCCGTGCCTCGCTGCCCTTCAACCCCTCCACATCAACTTTCAACTCCCCTACCTCACCTGTCAATCCCTCCACCTCCTTCTCCAATTCCTCCACCCTCTCTCTCCCCCGCATCACCTCTTTCTGCACCTCTCTCACCGCCGCCCTCCTTTCCCCTTCCACCGCACCCCTCGCCCTCCGCAGCTCTACCACCTCCCGCTCTACGCTTCTCAACGCCACTTCCACCGCTCTCCTCCGCGCCTGTTCCCCCTTCACCTTCTCCTCCATCCTCCTCCTCTCTGCCTCCCACTCCCTCCTCTCCGCGTCCCACTCGCTCCTCTCCCTCTCAGCCGCCCCCTTCTCCTCCTCAAGCTGCGTGACTCGCGCCCTCAGTTCCGCCACTCGCCTCTCCCCCTCCCCAATCACCTTCCGCATGAACTCCCCCTCACCCGCCCCCTCCTTCCGCCCTCTCTCCCACGCCTCCTGCACCCTCTCCCTCTCTCTCTCCCTTCCCTTCTCCATCTCCCTCCTCAACCTCTCCACCTCCTCCTCTAACACCCCCAATTCCTTCCTCCGCCTCTCCTCCATCTCCCTCCTCTCTCTTCCCATCTCCTCCTCAGCTTTCCTCCTCTCCCTCTCCCTATCCTCCATTGAAAATCGCACGAATTGCTTCAGCGCACCCCTATGCCTCTCCCGCTCCTTCCGCCTCTCCTCCTGCACGCGCTGCAGCTGCGCCTCCGCCCGCTCCAGCTGAGCCTGCACCAGATACACCTCCCCCTGCGCCACCATCGCCTGCGCCTGCAGCTCTTCCAGCGCCTTACTTCCCCCACAGCAGCAGCAGCCATCACCGCTGCTCGCCTGCTCGCCTGCTGTCATCTGCTTCTCGCTTCTAGCTTCGGCCTCCACACAAACCTGCCGTGCAGGTTCGGCAGAAACACTTCTACCTCTACCCTCCCCCCCAGTAGTGTTAGTTTCACCTTGGGAATCCATTACGGCACCGCTAGTGCGCGCGCCCGCCCTCCCCCTGCGCGCTTCCGCCTCCAGCGCGCGCCATTCCGCCCTCTCCGCGCGCATCTCCGCCTCTAGGGACTCTCGCTCCGCCCGCGCGCGCGCCAGCTGCTGCTTCAGCCGCACCACCCGCCGCTCCTGCCGCAGCGCCTGGGGTCGGCGGGTGCAGGCGGTGAAATGGCGGAAGATGCATGAGTGGCGGGAGGGAGAACCTTCAATAGGCGCACGCGGAGGGCGTGCGAACGCGGGAGATAACGGGGGTGAGGAGGGGTAGGGAGAGGGGAAGTGTCGCATGGGAGGCGCATCGTCTGACGTGGTACCCTACCCCATACATACCCTGCTGCTGCTGGCTACATACCTTGCTCAGATCGAATTCGTCTCCTTGGCCTCTCCCATCCTCGTCAACGTCCTCCGCATCCTCGTCATCGTCCCCCGATGCCACGTCATCATCCCCCTCAACGTCTCTCGCCGCCAATTCCCCCACCAGCGCGCGCACCATCTTCCGCGCGTCCGCCAGTTGCGCGCGCATTCGCTCCTCCGCCTCACTGCCGTCCCCGCAGATTCGCCCCCTCTCCGCAGCCCTCGGCGCTGATTTTATCCTCTCCGCATGCGCCTCCCCGTTGGCGCAAGTTTCCCCCTTTTCCCCCAAGGTGCTTGTCGCATTGGAGGGCCGAGGAGAGCAGTCAATATCAGTCAAGCGCGAGCGGCGCTTCGTCGAAACTTCGCCTGCGCCTGGGGTAACCGGCGCGAACGACAGGGCGGACAGCGCAGGCTGTCGGGGCGGGGCGGTTTCCGCCGCCTCCGCGCCAGACGCGGCGGAGACAGCAGCGGCATGCGCGGGCGCTGCGTTCGGTTTGCGAGACGCAGTAAAGGCCGCCGGGACATCATGAGCCGGCGCCTTAACGGTGGATTCGGGATCGCCAGGTTTGCTGCTCTTGTTGCCGTCCCATGTCGGAGATGTTCTCTCTATCCCGTTTAGAACAGCGCCGTTGCTGCTGTCAGGTGTTGCCATTTGCACTAAGGAGCTGAGAAGATGAGCAGTTTCTGGTACTAACGGATTTTGCCGTCTCCGAATGCGCTTGCCTCCAGGCGAGCAGAGCGAGTCGTGTCTCGCAATGGCGATGGTAGAAGAATCGGCTCAATGTACTTCCGCAAACAGGAATGGCTGTGTCAAAAGATGCAGAGCAGATTACTAGTTGGCCAGGTTCGCTTCGCAAGGCATTGTTGGGGAATCAACACATTCCTTTCTCTGCGGGAACAACAAGCTTGCCAGATTCCTGGTTTCTTCGCCCCACCACCACGAAGTGCAAGAGAGTCCGAAAGTCTGCGAAGTTGGTAGCCAGCGTAGCGATTTGTGGCGACTTTCGTTTGACTGTCAGGCGAGCGCTTCGTTTCTCCTGCTCGCCGAGCGCTTCTGTGCGAAGCTCTGCATCTGAGGGCGCGACAGGAGTCTGTCGCAAGATTTCTGCGAGCAATTCACGTGCTTTTCCGCATCTTTAGTGGAGTTTCCGCATCTGACGGTCTCGACCTCGTTGTGCTGATGCTGCAGAGCCGAGATTGGTTCTGACAAACCGCTTCGCCTTTACCTGATTGGTTCTTATGGGCGCCAGCCACACCCCGCTCTTGCTCATCTTGACTCTGCGTTACAGTCAGTTTCGACAGTAGCAACCTGCGTATGGCTGATTTGGTCAATCAGCAAACGAACACATTTATGTAGTTTGACTTCACTTTATGAGTTGTCAGAGCTGGCAGGTGACGAGTCACCTAGAAAACATTTTCCCGCCATCTCAGCATGCTTATCCCCACACCCAGAATCTCACGCCTTCCCTGCCTTTCATGCTGCCGTACAACAATCACTGCCGCTTCTTCCCTCATTTCGTCCTCCTTCCTACCTTAGATGCATCTGTGCCTTCGTTAGGGACGACGCAGCACTCGAAAGGAAGCCTCTTTCGCGGATTCATCAGACATAGAATATTCTCGTCAGCCTTAGAAGTTCCTTTCCGTCTCGCCACCGCATGATGGCGTTCCTCGCGCCCACTTCCTCGGCAGGGACCGCGTCGCGAGTGTCTTTATTCGCGAAAGATTTGCAGCTCCGCCTCCGGCCATCCGTCACCGTGACCACCGCTCCTGCCGCGATTTGTGGTGGATCTTTGCGCCTCTGCTGCACGTGCGAATCGCATTCGTCTTCGTCAGCCAGTAGCGGTCCGTCAAACGAGCCATTCTTTGCGGCTTCTCAGGAACGCGCACGGTCGTTGAACAACGTAGCATATCCTCTCTTCAGCTCCTCCAGCCAATCAAATAGTTCCAAATTAGCTGCGTCGTCGCCTGCAGCAGAATCCGTCGCCGAGCGCGCTGACTCCATTCCGTGCGACGATGGCGACAACTTTCAACGTCTCGTTTCCGATCAGCTCGTCGCACGCGTGCGACGATACGGCCCGTCGTTCCTCGTGGGCACGTGTGTCGCTCTCAGCCTAACCTTCGGCTTGCCGCGCGCGGCGCAAGCAAAATCCGGCAAGCCCGTCGCCTCAGCACCCACGCCGATCGTGGGGCGGCAGACCCCCGACGGGGGGAAGGCGGAGGCGGAGAAGGAGGTGGCGGAGAGTGCGCGCGCGCAAGCGGCGGAGCAGGAGCGCGCGGTGAAGATGCTGGAGGACTTTCTGGCGAAGCACCCGCGCGACGTGACGGCGCTGCGCATGCTGCTGCGCGTGCGCATGAAGTGCGCGGACTTCGCGGGGGGCATCAAGATCCTCGACCAGCTCGTGGAGGTCAGCCCGCGCGGATGCGCCCCGCTCTCTCTCACGCCCTCACTCGTGCATATACCCCGCTCTCTCACACTCACACACGCGCATACGCACACACACATATGAATATGAATGAACGCTCTAGGTGAAGTGCGCGGATTCGGGGGGAAGGGGAGGGGGGGGGCATCAAGATCCTCGACGGTTCGTGGAGGTCAGCCCGCGCGCTCTCAAACGCGCGCGCGCGCGCACACAGACACGCACACGTAGACCCAGCACACCCACCAGCGCACACACACGCACATCAGCCGATGGTACGATATGAATGATATGAACAGCGAGCTTTCCTTCCAGTGTCTTCATCACAAAACGCACAGCAGCCGATGGTACAACCTGAATGAACTGGTTATTGAATGAGAAACGACTGACAGCTCACGAATTGACTTACAGCTCACGTGAACACGCAGTGGTTGAATTTCAACCTGAAGGGACTGGCTTTCTCCGCGCCCTCTTACCCCCCACCTCTTCGCGTGAGCAGATAGTCATGAGTGGACGACATGAGTGGAAGTTCATCCGCGCGCAGGCGCAGGAGTCCGTTGATTGAGTCCACTCCCTCCCGTCCTCTTCCTTTCGCCTCCTCTTTTTCCAACCCCGGTCCCTCCCCGGAGCAGATAGAGCCGGACGACATGGAGTGGAAGTACATCCGCGCGCAGGCGCAGGAGTTCGTGGGGGACCTACAGGCAGCGCGCAAGGGCTTCCAAGAAATCCTCAAAGTCGACCCCTTCTCCGCGCGCGCGCTCCAGGTGCGCCCCTGCTTGCTGCGCGCTCCACGTGCGCCCTTGTGCTGCGCGCTCCACGTGTCTTGCTGCGCGCTCCAGGTGCGCCCCTGCTGCGCCCTTCTCTGTTTTTATTTTATTCAAGTTTTGATCCGTATTCTCTCGTTCCCGTCGCCTTCTTCCGCCAGCTTCTTCGATAGGCCTCCCCAGTCCCCCTCGTCCCCAACACACCCCTGCCGAAATCCTCCCCACACTCCTCTTTTCTCACCGTGCACCCACACCCCTCTTGCCCCACCACGCCCCTCCCTCATCTGCCTCCCCCTTCCCCTTTTCCTCCCGCCCCACAGGGCTTAGCAACAGTGATGCGGCGCAGCGGCGAGGACAGCCTGGTGCTGGGGATGGTGGAGGAGGCGGTGGGGAAGGCGGGGCAGGAGGGCAAGCAGCAGGAGGCCACCAACCTCAAGATGCTGCTGGGACAGCTGCACGCGCTGCAGGTGAGGGAAGGGTGCAGAGGTGCAGGGTGGGGGTTTACGGGTTTAGGGGCGCAGGGTTGGGGGTTTACGGGTTTAGGGGCGCAGGGTTGGGGGTTTACAGGTTTAGGGGCGCAGGGTTGGGGGTTTACGGGTTTAGGGGCGCAGGGTTGGGGGTTTACGGGTTTAGGGGGCGCAGGGTTGGGGGTTTACGGGTTTAGGGGCGCAGGGTTGGGGGTTTACGGGTTTAGGGGCGCAGGGTTGGGGGTTTACGGGTTTAGGGGCGCAGGGTTGGGGGTTTACGGGTTTAGGGGCGCAGGGTTGGGGGTTTACGGGTTTAGGGGCGCAGGGTTGGGGGTTTACGGGTTTAGGGACGCAGGGTTGGGGGTTTGAGTATTGGGCAAGCAGCAGGAGGCCACCAATCTCAAGATGCTGCTGGGGCAGTTGCACTCGCTGCAGGTGGGGAGAGGGGAAGGGGAGGTGTGGGGACGGGGAGGGGAGGGTTTTTTCGTATGGGTTGTTGAGGCGGGAGACGGAGGGGGGGGTAGGGGGCAGGGTTGGGGGATTTTTGAGTCGTTGGTGATAGGGGATAGGGGGCTCGTGTTCTCCCTCGTGGGGGACTCCATGCAGGCCGACCCTCCACGGCATGGACATGACACATGCTCTCCCCTTGTTGTTTGCCTCTCGTACCTTCCATCATCTCAGGGCAACGTGGAGGCGGCCATAGCGCAGTATGACGCCATCAGCGCCAGTGACCCGAGTGACTTCCGGCCGTACCTGTGCAAGGGGCTCGTGTTCTCACTCATGGGGGACACCAAGCAGGCCGACGTGCACTTCAAGGAGTTCCGCCGGCGCTGCCCCAAGAACTACGCCAGCTACCTCGATAACATGCTGGTCAAGAGCACTGTGGAGGCACGGCGACAGGAGGTGAGCAGTGGGTTGCGGGTTTGGGTGTCTTGTGTGTTGCTTTACACTCAACTTACGCACTGTGGAGGCGCGGCGGCAGGAGGTGAGCATTGGGTTGCGGGTTTGGGTGTCTTGTGTGTTGCTTTACACTCAACTTACGCACTGTGGAGGCGCGGCGGCAGGAGGTGAGCAGTGGGTTGCGGGTTTGGGTGTCTTGTGTGTTGCTTTACACTCAACTTACGCACTGTGGAGGCGCGGCGGCAGGAGGTGAGCAGTGGGTTGCGGGTTTGGGTGTCTTGTGTGTTGCTTTACACTCAACTTACGCACTGTGGAGGCGCGGCGGCAGGAGGTGAGCAGTGGGTTGCGGGTTTGGGTGTCTTGTGTGTTGCTTTACACTCAACTTACGCACTGTGGAGGCGCGGCGGCAGGAGGTGAGCAGTGGGTTGCGGGTTTGGGTGTCTTGTGTGTTGCTTTACACTCAACTTACGCACTGTGGAGGCGCGGCGGCAGGAGGTGAGCAGTGGGTTGCGGGTTTGGGTGTCTTGTGTGTTGCTTTACACTCAACTTACGCACTGTGGAGGCGCGGCGGCAGGAGGTGAGCAGTGGGTTGCGGGTTTGGGTGTCTTGTGTGTTGCTTTACACTCAACTTACGCACTGTGGAGGCGCGGCGGCAGGAGGTGAGCAGTGGGTTGCGGGTTTGGGTGTCTTGTGTGTTGCTTTACACTCAACTTACGCACTGTGGAGGCGCGGCGGCAGGAGGTGAGCAGTGGGTTGCGGGTTTGGGTGTCTTGTGTGTTGCTTTACACTCAACTTACGCACTGTGGAGGCGCGGCGGCAGGAGGTGAGCAGTGGGTTGCGGGTTTGGGTGTCTTGTGTGTTGCTTTACACTCAACTTACGCACTGTGGAGGCGCGGCGGCAGGAGGTGAGCAGTGGGTTGCGGGTTTGGGTGTCTTGTGTGTTGCTTTACACTCAACTTACGCACTGTGGAGGCGCGGCGGCAGGAGGTGAGCAGTGGGTTGCGGGTTTGGGTGTCTTGTGTGTTGCTTTACACTCAACTTACGCACTGTGGAGGCGCGGCGGCAGGAGGTGAGCAGTGGGTTGCGGGTTTGGGTGTCTTGTGTGTTGCTTTACACTCAACTTACGCACTGTGGAGGCTCGGCGGCAGGAGGTGAGCAGTGGGTTGCGGGTTTGGGTGTCTTGTGTGTTGCTTTACACTCAACTTACGCACTGTGGAGGCGCGGCGGCAGGAGGTGAGCAGTGGGTTGCGGGTTTGGGTGTCTTGTGTGTTGCTTTACACTCAACTTACGCACTGTGGAGGCTCGGCGGCAGGAGGTGGGTACTGCTGTTAGTGAGATTTGAGTGGTGATTGGAGATCAGTTGAGCATTGAGCATTCGTTGCCCCAAGTACTAGGTGAGCTGCCAGGATAACATGCTGTTGAGAGCACTGTGGAGGCACGGCTGCAGGAGGTGAGGAGTGTGAGGGAGCTCTGAGAGGTGGAGGTGTTGAGATGATCATTGAGTGTGTTCACGGTGCTTCCCCAAGAACTATGCGAGCTGCCTGGATAACATGCTGGTTAAAGCACCATGGACGCATGGCGGCAGGAGGTATGTTGTTGTAGGGGGCTTCGATGAGCGTTCTCGGCGCTGCGCCTTGAACTATGCCAGCTACCTGAATTAACATGCTTGTTTGAGTGAAGTGTGTTGAGGGTGGACCAATGGCGCTGCCGAGTGGTGCTGCTGCCAGTTACCTTTATAACATGCTTGTTGAATCTATTGTGGAAGCACGGTGGCAGGGGGTGAGTTGTGGCATGCAGCAGTGAGCAGTGAGCAAGGCGTTTTGAGCTCTGGTCGTGGAGCAGTTGTATGGATTGGGTTTAGAAGGCAGATGCGAGCTGCTTTCTTGGGAATGCGGGCTGTGGTGTGCAGAGACAGTGAGTGGCTGTTGCTGGATTGTGCAGTGCATTTGCCATAAGAGAATGCACCTGCCATGGGGGAATGAATATGACTTCCCATTTGGCAGTGCATTTGCCGCTATCTGTATCTTCCTTACCATGCATGTGTGCATGTCCTGCGCCTGCAACAATTTCAGCAATTCTCTTTTTGCGCTTGTCTCTGCTGAGGGTGTGTGGAGCAGAGGGAGAAGCGGCAGCAGATGGAGGCAGAGGCCAAAGGGCAGACAGTGCGCCCCATGAAGCAGCCCACATCAGGTGCTGGGTTCATTGGATAATGCATTTAACCCATACAAATGCTAAACTTATATAAACAGTGGTGTTCTTTCCTGATGTGGGGCTAGGTTGGGTTGAGGAGATACTATCTCTGGCCACCATGTTCTAGCAGAAGGGAAAACCTGTGGATTGCACTGCTTTGCTGCCTTCGGGTTTGAAAAGACATACTAAGGTAGTACGGTATAAAATAACTTTCATACGGTTATCCAACTGCACCACACCGCATTCATAGTGAAGGCATTCTTGGTCTGTTGTGTAAGCAGCCATGTCTATGATAGTGAACAGTGATCTAATCAAAGCGCAACAGCGCAGCACCCATCACTTCCCTGTCGCTTTGGAATCTTTGTAGCGATCTGCCTCCTGTCGTGTGTTCCTTTCTTTTTGGGAACGACCCCCCAACGTTCTCTTCTCCAACACAGGCGGATTTGGGCCGCCACGAAAACGTCAGAAAATGCCGTGCCTGGTGCTGAGCACTTGCTGTGGTGGTGGTGGCGAAAGATGATCAATGGGGGGTTTGTAAGACTTGTCATTTTCTGCTATGCTATCTTGTCTGCTACCCACTCAAAGTGTTTGTTTTGTCGCCTTGTCAGATGAAGAAGAAAGAAGCCAGCCATGTTTGTGATGATTCTCCCAGTGCTCGGGCAAGGCAAAGGCAAAGGGGCTGGGCCAGGCCGGAGGGGAGGGGGATGCTGGTTCGGAGGGGAGGCTATGATGCCAAAGGAGGGATGCAGATTCTCTTTCCGTTATGCGAGATGGCGGGTGGAAATTATGAAATTATCGGGTTGCACTCGATATTACCTTTACACTTGGTTTCTGGCCGAAATGTATTTTCGACAACCTGCATTGGTATTAAACGAAGTCTCCCATCGAAGACACCTAGGAAACCGCGTCAACATCTCATTCCAGAAGTGCAATATAGTTGGCCTTTAGTGAAGGGCATTTTTGGGGGTAAGGTGGAGTCGACAGTGGATGCAAGAAAACGGCTCGAGGGAAGATATGTACAGTGTTTCTGTATCCCATGGTAGGGAGTGGGTGTTTTGGAATTGCTGCTCTGACAGAAATGAAACGCGCTGTGTACTGTACGTGTACACCCTTTTTTGCGCCACACTGTCAATCAGGAACACTGGCTACAGTGCTTACGTGTGCTCGGAACCTAGCGGTCTGGTGCTTGCAACCGAACCCCAGGTAGTGGCGGGCAAATGCACTCCATGTTAATGGTACACAGCGGTCTGTAAAAAAAAACTTGCTTTTGCATACGGTTGAGGGAAGCTGGGGGACCTGGTGGTCAAGGGAAGAGATGGCAGCAGAACTCGTAAGAGCGAAGCGGACCTGGAGAGGGAGTTAGGTGGAGTGGAGCAAAGGAGGTGGGCTCTGAAAGCGTGGGAAGCGACACCGCAGGGGTGGAAGGACCTGGTACTCAAACAGTTGTCGGCAGAGGAATTTTTGAGGGAGACAAGGTTAATCCGCACGGCCTCGTATCGCCCGGGAGAGTTTTTCTACTATCAACTGCAGTACGTAAACAACGGCGAACTCTACGGCCGGAGGGTGACGGTCGATAAGAAGGGGCTTATATCGGAGATAGAGTACGCCAGCATGGTAACAGTTGAGTTCCGGAGCGCTTCCCCAATGGCGGTCATAGAAGGGAAAGTCCGGGGCGAGCTGGGGGCCCCGAGAACGCGCCTACTTTATTCCACAATCTGCGAGAAAGGAGAGCGAGTGGGACTGAAGCAGCTGAGGAAGGCAATGAAACCCTCGGGGGCGCAGCCAAAGCAACAGCTGAAGTGGGAGGAGGACTTGGGGAGAAAGATTGACTGGGGGAAGGCCATCACAGTCCGTGACTCGCTGGCAACCCCATGCAGGGCACGCGAAGTGGTGCTGAGGGTGCACAGTAACAACCTCCAAGTAGGGGAGAGGCTCCCTTTCCTGGGTGCAAGGGCGAAATGCACGCATTGTGGAGGAGTGGAATCGCAGGACCATTGCCTTTTCAGCTGCCCGGTGATACAACCGGTAGTGGGGGCAATGAAGAAGGCGGTGCAGTGCATGAATCCGGGCAGGGGCATGGGGTCTCTCGGAGACATGCTCTTTCAAAAGAGCGGCACGACGTCCGGCTTGTCTCCGGAGGCTGCAATCATTGCTATCACAGCGCACCAAGTGTGGCTGGAGAGGTGCAACGCGGTCTTCCGTGGCAGTCGGTTCCAACCAAAAAGGGCAATGAGGCGTATTGCGGTTGGCTTCACACGTCACGTGAAGATTTACAGCAGAGTGCGTATGAGGATGGCTGGCAGGAGTGGTTCGGAAAAGAAGGGTGACTGGGGACACCTGAATGCTGACGAGGCAATTGCTATGCGGAGGCTTTATGAGAACGAGGCTTCGATGACGTGGAGGGCAGGGTTCAAGGCGATCTGGCAAGATGGCGGTGTAGCTTTCCAACCTCCGTAAAAGGACAAGGGGGGTTGGTTACTCCGTGACCTGTGCATGCCCTCCTAGCAACAGTTACGACTGCGGATGTATGTATACATGTAGTGTACTGATGTCCACAAAAAAAAAAAGTACGGTTGAGTACGGAAAATGTGCTTATATGGTATGTTCTGTGACCATTCTGGACGCATTGATGTCAGTACAACCGAGTTATCAATATGTCCAATGACAGTGTGGCGCGAAAGAGGGTGTAAAACGGAAAAAGAGACAGTAGAATATCCTAGTAGGAGGTGTACAGCTGTGCCCCCGAAGTCACGTCATGAGATTGTTTTTTGCCAAGCTGTTCGCTGCGCCACCTTCACACCCACAGCTGTTCAGTGCACAACACGGCAGTGATGACGACGACTCGAGTGGACACGACACGCCACTGTGGCAGAGACCAGAGAGCGTGCGAGCGCAGAAAGCAGCCAGCCAGCCACGTCAGGCCCATGAAGCGACTGTAAGGGCGTGTCTCTTTTTTGATTTTATGGATTTTGACGGACTGT